GAATTGCCTGAACCCGGGAGGCGGAGGTTGCGGTGAGCCGAGATCGTGCCATTGCACTCCAGCCTGGGTAACAAGAGCGAAACTCCGTCCCAAAACAAAACAAAAAACAAAAAACAAAACAAAACAAAAAACAAAAAAACAAACAGCTAGTACCATTAAATCCATCTAAGAGAGTAGAAGCAAAGAGCTTTCAATGCTACCTTTCCTAGGACACCACAAGCCTTCAAAGGAACCCACTTTGAGTAGAAAAAATGGCTTAAGCTGAATGGACACGGATCATGTGATGATTAATGAGGATGAGCTCAATATCTAAGCTATGATAAGCAAGTCTTTAAAATGGATCTCAATTTAATATAACTGTCAAAGCATCTGTCCAAATGTTCCTGGGGAAAGAATACAATTGTGCTGTTTTTGCTTAGAAACAATGAGGGGAAAAAAAACCTGGCCAGTCACTTAAACCGCATTGTTATAGAACAGTTCGTTTAAATACTGTGATGATCTGAGCTGAGTATTAACATTTTATTCTGATCGACAAGACTTACCTCAGGAACTCTTTGCTTTGTTCCCACAGATCTTGGGTCTCTTCTTTAGTCATGTGTTTGTCCAGGTTACATACATTAGGTTTCTGGGAATATAACTTAAGGCACTGTTTCACCCAGTGCCACTGGTAACCTGGGAGGAAGGGGTTTGGGATAAAAATAAACCCTATACAAAAGATGGGCGGGAAAAAAAGAAGAAGGGGAAATTATCCGTCAGTTATTCAAATAATTTTTGTTTGTTGACATCATTATACCCACTATTTTGTTATTTTTAAAATTTAGTTCCCATTTTTTTTTGGTCATGCTTCAAGTTAATGAACAGCTAGGTTTGGATGAACATTAGACATCTACCACTATACAAATGTGTCTGGCTTTCTTGGTATTCTCAAGAGAAACAAATATTCCACAAGGTTAACTGTGTTATTCCAAAGCAAACTTTAGAAATGGCAGTGCTAAAAGTACACCTCTAATTTTTATCAGGTCTTGCCATTTAGAGACATCCAAGACTTCTTTACTTCCCTATTTCACTTATTACAGGCATGATTATATGAAATCTTATAATAAATTTTAACTAAAACAGATTTGAAAGTCAACATCTAATGAATGGCGTGCTGATTATTGGTCTATTTTCTCTCAGTTTCAAATCTACTCTTCTATATTTAACTTCATAAATATGGGGCTGAGACCCTGCCAACTCCATTTCTTATTTGCCAGCTGGCTCTCTGCTAACCTGTACCTATAAGGGTCACTAATGGAAGGCTGGAGGGCAGAAGTTGGTTCTAATATAGTTTTTCCACATCACCAGAATTAGTCTCATTATGTCGTCTCCTCAGAAGTCTAAGCCCCAGTTCCATGTAGTCCCTCTTCCAAGCTTCTCTATATAGTAATCCCAAGCTCTTTTGTTGTTCCTCCCAGGTGTCGGGGTGATAGTTGCTTCCTGCAGTTACTGTATCTGTAATATCTCTGTGTTTGTAAACAACTATAGCTAACACACAACTATAAGTGTGTTAAAGATCTCTGTGACCTTGACAGCAACCTAACCTCATTTTCCTCCTCTGTAAAAGATTAATAATAGGCCAGGTACAGTGGTTCATGCCTGTAATCCCAGCACTTTGGGAGGCTGAGATGGGCAGATTACCTGAGGTCAGGTCAGGAGTTTGAGACCAGCCTGGCCGACATGGTAAAACCCTGTCTCTACTAAAATACAAAAACTAGCCAGGCATGGTGGCAGGGACCTGTAATCCCAGCTACCTGGGAAACTGAGGCAGGAGAATCACGTGAAGCCAGGAGGCAGAGGTTGCAGTAAGCTGAGACTGTACCACTGCACTCCAGCCTCGGTAACAAAAAAAGACAAAAAAAAAAAAAAAAAAAAAAAAAAAAAAAAAAAAAAGAAAAAAGAATTAGAGATTAACGGGATAAAAAAAACCTTGTCTAGAAAGAAGGGGCAATAAAGACAAGTTAAACTCCTTTTTGAAGACCAGCTATGAAAGAAAATAAAAGCTTAGGCATAGTCATAGAAAAAATAAAGAGTTAAGAGAGGAGTTTTTGGTTTTTAAGGGCTGGCAAGACCTAAGTAAGCTTACAGATTGTGAAGAAAGAGCCAAGAGAGAAGAGCCAGTTGGAATCAGAAGAAATAGAGCAAGGTCTTGAATGCTGGAAGAGGTAAAGAAGGTGAGCTCAAGAGGGTAGAGAGATGGGCTCTGAACTGAAGGAATTCCTCTTCCTCTATGACTAGATGGTGGAAATGAGAACATTTGTTTAAAAGTGTGGGGCCATTGGAAGCTGAAAGGGTTTGTGCCCAAAGGATTCAGTTTTCCCAGATAAACAGCAAGGTCCTCTCAGCAAGACTGAGCATGATTGGGGCAGGTCTTGAGTAACAGAAGGAATCCAAGCAATGATATAAAAGACACGCATCATATATTAGTGTAATGTTCCCCTTGCAAAGGGATTTTAAAAACAGATGAACAGACTAAAAGCTTAAAGATTTCCGAGTTCAATGCTGACAATAATTTGAAGGTTTTCAGTTCCTGGTTGAACTCCAGATCTAGTCTAGACCAGAGGTTAGCAAACATTTTCTGTCAAGGACTAGATAGTAAAGACTTTAGGCTTTGAGGGTTATTTGGTCTCTTTATTTATTTTTTTGGGACGAAGTCTCGCTTTGTTATCTAGGCGCAATTTCTGGTTCACTGCAACCTGCACCTCCTGGGTTCAAGTGATTCTCCTGCCTCAGCCTCCTGAGTAGCTAGCTGGGACTACATCGATTTTTTTTTTTTTTTAAAGTACAGTCAGGGTTTAGCCATGTTGGCCACACAGGTCTTGAACTCCTGGCCTCAAGTGATCCACCCATCTCAGCCTCCCAAAGTGCTGGGATTACAGGCGTGAGCCGCACCCAGCCTTATTTGGTCTTTTTAGCACTCAATTCTGTCACTGCAGCCAGAAAGTAGCCATACATAGTAAGTAAACAAAAAGGTATGGTTGTATTTCAATAAACTGTGTTTACAATAAAACTATAGTTTGCCAACTCTTGGTCTAGACTATTGGCGGTAACAATACATTTTATGGAAATATCCTTAGGGAGAATTACTACGGAAAGCAGACAGTAAAGACACTGGGCTGGGAGCCTCACACAGAAACAACTTTGTTATTACCTACTTTTCCTCTCTTCTCTTTGGCATATAATTTAGACACAGAATAATGATAAAGTTTAATAACAGCTATTAATAATACATACGTTTATTCCTAAGTTATTAATTACAGTAGATGCTAAAAATAACTAGATGCCTAGAAGGGTCAGCCACTGTGCTAGCAACCTTATGCTATCTCATTCATCTTCAGTAATTCCATGAGGAAGTTATTAATCCAGTTTTGCAGATAAGAGAACAGAAGCTCAGAGGGGTAATATGACTTCACTGATTCATCCCTCTCTCCTGGCCCATCACAAGGCTTGCACACATTTGGGATGAGACGAACAATCTGGGATATGACAGGCAAAGTTGGATTTGTGGCCAAGGAACATGCAAAACCAGTAAGCCCACACAGGCAACAAATCTATGCTCTTTGCGTTTAAATACTAGGCTCTAACCAAATGAATCTCTGAACATCATCAATGGTCCACTATCAGAAATTTCAAAGAGATTTAAAACCACACACGATTCAGCTGAAAGGAGGTTATGCTGATGTAGAAATACATAGAATATAACCTGAAGATTCCTCTATCTACTAAATCTTACTAAAAGCACTTAAAATTCTATGTCTAGATTCTTGCAGATATAGAAAAAAAATATATAGACAGCTTAGAGATATTCAATGTGGACAGGTTCCTCATTGCAGCTGATTAATCCTGTTCTACCACTTAGTATTGTCAATAGCATATACTCCAAACTAAACCTAATGACCAAAGTCATTGACCTTGTGGCATCCAGGAAACCTCATACAAAGATTTTTACCTTTAAGCACTAATCTGATTTTTCATATCTTTTTAAAAGTAGCTCCTAAATACATTTGGATTTTATGTTTCATTTATAAAATTCTCCAAATAATTTGGGAGAGTGACAGGATCATCAATATTCTGGAAAAAGATAGGAACCCCCCCCCACAACCTACCATCTGCTATCATCACAATTTCATGAAATAAATAATATTATAACACCCCAAACATATCAGACTAAAGGAATAATGCTTCTGGTTTAGTCCAAGCTTGAATGATGACAGGAAATTTAATCCCTCTTTAGGCAGTCCATTTCAGATAACTGTTGTCTTCTTATTATTGGGTTAAAATCTGCCTCCCAGCCAGGCACAGTGATTCAGGTCTGTAATCCAGCGCTTTGGAAGGCCGAGGTAGGAGGATCACTTGAGCCCAGGAGTTCCAGACTAGCCTGAGCAACATAGTGAGACCCTGCCTCTATGAAATATTGGAAAAAATAACTGGATGTGAGGACTGGGAGCAGTGGCTCACACCTGTAATCCCAGCACTTTGGGAGGCTGAGGCGGGTGGATCACCTGAGGTCAGGAGTTCGAGACCAGTCTGGCCAATATGGCGAAACTCCATCTCTACTAAAAATACAAAAAAAGCTAGGCGTGGTGGTGAAAGCCAATGGTCCGCTACTAGGGAGGCTGAGGTGGGAGGAACGTTTGAGCTTGGGAGGTCAAGGCTGCAGTGAATCATGATTGTGCTACTGCACCCCACTGGGTGACAGAATGAAACCCTGTCTCAAGAAAACAAACAAAAAAGCCCCCAAATCTGCCTACCTTGTACCTACACGTTTTCCAGGTTAAAAAAAAAAAATTGGCTGGGCATGGTGGCTCACGCCTGTAATCCAAGCACTTTGGAGGCCAAGGTGGGCGGATTACCTGAGGTCGGGAGTTCGAGACCAGCCTGACCAACATGGTGAAACCCCATCTCTACCAAAAATACAAAATTAGCCGGTTGTGGTGGCACATGCATGTAATCTCAGCTACTTGGGAGGCTGAGGCAGGAGAATCACTTGAACCCAGGAGGTGGAGGTTGCGACGAGCCGAGATCGAATCATTGCACTCCAGCCTAGGCAACAAGAGCGAAACTCTGTCCCCCCCCCCAAAAAAAAAAAAAAAAAAATCTGCTTCTCTATAATTTTCAGTCATTGATCTTAGATTCTGACACCTAGAGCAACCCCAAATCATTTTTATGTGCTTGATAAAAGCACTGACCTAAGCAGTTAACAAATACGTTAACATGTAATCCTCATAAGAACCTTGTGAAGTGGGGACTTTTTTTTTTTTTTTGAGATGGAGTTTCACTCTTTGTTGCCCAGGCTGGAGTGCAGTGGTGCAATCTTAGCTCACTACAACCTCCGCTTCCCAAGTTCAAGCAATTCTCCTGTCTCAGCCTCCCGAGTGGCTGGGATTAAAGATGCCCACCACCATGTCCGGCTAATTTTTGTATTTTTAGTAGGGATGGGGTTTCACCACAGTGGCCAGGTCTTGAACCCTTGACCTCAGGTGATCCACTGCCTCAGCGTCCCAAAGTGCTGGGATTACAGGCATGAGCCACCATGCCCAGCAAGTACCTTGTGAAGTGGGTACTATTCTTATATATATTTTACAGATGACAAAACTGAGGGCAAGATAATTAAGAAACTTGCCCAAAGTCTTGCAGTTAGTAGATGGCAGGGCCAGGATATAAACCCAGGTAGCCTGACACCAGAACCTATGCCTTAACCACTGGTCTGCTTCCCACCACTTCTCGTGCAAGACAATTTTTCCATGTTTAATGCTGTCATGTTTCCCCGTAAGTCTTTTCTTCCCTAGATTCTGTTTCTTTTTTCCAGACCTATTTTCCTCTTGTTCAAGAAGATATGTCCTCACATAAGAGTGTACAGACAGGATGTAGTATACTCAGCTTCTTCAGATTAAGTAAGATCCAGAAGTAAATCCACAATCCTTTTGATCAACTCACAGTAAGAAAAGACTGTTCTTTCCCATATTTTGGCCATTATATTTCTATTAAATATAGCTTATGGGGGAAAGTAAGTAAAAACTAAATAAACAAAATAAACACAGCTTACAGTGAGAGGAGAAACAGAATAAACTCTCCAAGGATATAGTGAGGCACCCACTCAAAAGATGTGTTTTAATTAAGCAGTAAATCCTAGAAAACCTCAGAAATCAAGTATAGCAGTTTTTGGACAATATGAAATCCAAGTGGGGTTAAGTTTGTGGCATGAACAATCTGTTAATGGGAGAGAGCCTAGAGCAACAGAGAATCATGGCCTTAAAAATAGGTGCTAGAGGCTGGGTGCAGTGGCCCATGCCGTAATCCTAGCACTCTGGGAGGCTGAAGTGGGTGGATCACCTGATGTCAGGAGTTCGAGATCAGCCTGACCAACATGGTGAAACCCCGTCTCTACTAAAAACACAAAAAAGTTCGCTGGGTGTGGTGGCAGGTGCCTGTAGTCCCAGCTACTTGGGAGGCTGAGACAGGAGAATGACCGGGAGGTGGAGGTTGCAGTGAGCCAAGATTGCACCACTGCACTCCAGCCTGGGTGACAGAACAAGACTTTGTCTAAAAACAAAACAAAACAAAAAAAATAGGTGCTAGAGCTGAAAGGTGAAGAACGGCCTCCAAGAACAAGGCTGTTGGTGATACATGCTCTATATTTACCCAAACTCAAGAGGAGTCATGCTGTTATATCTTCCCATGCTATTCACAAGTATTTCAGTGGTCATAATGTACTAAGAGCTGTACGAAAGACTCCTGGCCACTGGTACAATGAAAACATTTTAAAGATTTCCCTTACTTTTAACCCATATTTGATATCACAGGGCAATGTTAACTTTTACAATGGCCCCAGGAGCCTAAAAAAAAGGTTAATAACATTGACCATTCTTCATTATTTTCTTAATTTCTTTCTCTGTAAAATGAGCTACCCAATGTTACTAAATTAAAAGTTGCAGACGAGTCTATTAGAATTGTATGTTTGAGACATGGTCTCTGTCACCTGGGCTGGAGTGCAGTGGCATGATCTAGGCTCACCGTACCTCATGCAATCCTCCTACCTCGGTCTTCTGAGTAGCTGAGACTACAGATGCATGCCACAATACTTGGCTAATTAAAAACATTATTTTTTGGCCAGGCAAGGTAGCTCATGCCTGTAATATCAGCACTTTGGGAGGCCAAGGCGAGTGGATCACCCGAGGTCAGGAGTTCGAGACCAGCCTGGCCAACATGGTGAAACCCTTTCTCTACTAAAATACAAAAATTAGCTGGGTGTGGTGGCGTAAACCTGTAATCTCAGCTACGTGGGAGGCCAAGGCAGAAAAATCTCTGGAGCCTGAGAGGCGGAGGTTGTAGTGAGCTGAGATTGTGCCACTATATTCCAGTCTGGGTGACAGACTGAGGCTCTGTCTGGGAAAAAAAAAATTTTTTTTTTTTTTGTAGAGACAGGGTCTTACTATGCTGCCCAGGCTGCTCACAAATTCCTGGGCTCAAGTGATCCTCCCAACTTGGCCTTCTAAAGTGTTGGCAAGGTGGTGTGAGCGATGTTCAGCCTTGATAGCAACAAGTTTTCTTTTCTTTTTTTTTTTTTTGAGACAGAGTTTTGCTCTTGTCACCCAGGCTGGAGTGCAATGGTGCAATCTCAGCTCACCGCAACCTCTGCCTCCTGGGTTCAAGCAATTCTCCTGCCTCAGCCTCCCAAGTAGCTGGGACTACAGGCGTGCACCACCATGCCCAGCTAATTTTTTTGTATTTTCAGTAGAGATGGGGTTTCACCATGTAGACCAGGATGGTCTCGATCTCTTGACCTTGTGATCCACTCGCCTCGGCCTCCCAAAGTGCTGGGATTATAGGCATGAGCCACTGCGCCCAGCCAGCAACAAGTTTTAAGTTTTTATGCCATTTGAGAATGTGGCTACAGGGGCAATTATGAATTATTCATAACTATTATTTGACATTTATTACAATAATGATAAATTATTCTTCACAACACTTCCATCAAATCAGATGTTCAGAGTTGTGGCAGGGAGTCCAGAGTCAATGTTCTTATTTTTTTATTTTTCATGCCACTTTCAGCCACATTTGTAGGCACTGCTGACTCCTGTTCTATCCTTTCAAAATGGACATCTTAGACAACGTACAGTCTAGAATGAGTTTGGAAATGAAACATTTATCTTTTTATTATGTGTATCCTTTGTCTATTCACTTGCTCACAGTTCCTTCTTTGAAAACACAAAGACACAATGACTGAGTGATTTTGCCTTCTCTGAGATCAGTTACACTCACCAGGATAGCCTTTGAGTCCATAGGCTTGCCACTTGCTGATGGGCTGAAGACCTGCTCTACGTGCATCATGTTCACTGACAGAAGACACATTTAGCTGAGATGTGACCACCTGGCAGGAAAGAAACAGAACTTAAAGGGCTAAATCTATTTTGCAGGTCAACCCTGGGAACCTCAAAACTCCAAAGATATTTCTTGTATGAGGCAAAGCTAGGATTCTTGTTTTTTTAAGATACAGGACCTTGCTCTGTTGCCCAGGCTAGAGTGCACTGGTATTCATCATAGTTCACTGCAGCCTCAAACGCCTGGGCTCAAGTGATCCTCCTGTGTTAGCCTCCCAAAGCACTGGGATTAGAGGTATGAGCCACTGTGCCAGGCCAAAGCTAGGAGTAGTAAGTCTGGGGTTAATCTTAGTTCTACTGCTTACTTGATCTAGACATTTTACATGAGTCACTTAATGTCTTAGAATCGCAGTTTCTCATCTATATACTAACAGTAGAATCACCCAAAGTTAAGAAAATAAGAAAATTTAAGCAGGCTAATTTGGGCTTTCAAAACTACTTCTTCCTATGACATCATACCTTTGCAACTTCTTATGGAACTGAATCATGAAAGGTGTTTGGTGTACTGAAATATCCTGAGTCACAAAGCTATTTACTTCAGATAGGGGTAACAGTAATGCTTTTGAGACACTTGTGTAGAGTTGGTATTTAAACAGAGCTATAAGGAACACCAAGCTGAAGTCAGTGAGAGAATGAAAAGAGAAGGCTGGGGTCACAGTGGCTCACACCTGTAAACCCAGCAGTTTGGGAGGCCGAGGGGGGCAGATCATGAGGTCAGGAGTTTGAGACCAGACTGGCCAGCATGGTGAAACCGTGTCTCTACTAAAAATACACAAATTAGCTGGGAAATCCCAGCTACTCGGGAGGCTGAGGTACCAGAATTGCTTGAACCCAGGAGGTGGAGGCTGCAGTGAGCCAAGATAGCACCACTGTACTCCAGCTTGGGGATAGAGCAAGATTCCATC